ATATCAAAAAAAAAAAAAAAAAAAAAAAAAAAAAAAAACCGAAATAGGGAAAGCATTAACCAGTCTTGACTATTTGCCTTTGAATCATGCCATGCACTCAGTTATATCATCGACCCTTGTGAACATAATGTCAATCCTGGAACATTGCTTGAGTTTGGAAAATAAATTTTCCTTTCTTGACAGGAGGGAAAGCTGGAGCAGGAGTGACTTATCCAGGAGAAGTCAGGAAATCTGTGGCAAAAGAAGGAAAAGCAAACAGACCTTCTGGTAKGGACATGGGCTGCGAGTCATCCCGTTCAGCTTGGAGGGTGTTATCAAACTTTCCTCTGCATCCTCCGGCTGTGGCAGTTGACACAGTCACCACTCCCATCCTCAGGCTCACCTGAAATACTGAAAATAGTGTTGGAGTTAAGATACTGAAGTCAGCATCATAAGCAAGCCTTTCACCAACCTGTTACTCTGTCACCCTTGCCACTGGAAAGGGAGTATCCAGAAAASTTAAATGGCAACTGTTTTTGTCAATACAAAATAACGAACCCTCTGTAATAACAAATACTCTCCAAAATAGGTTTAAATAAGCTTAGAAAGTAAAGCACTTCTAAGTCAAACCTATCAAGAGATGTAAAATTTATTTCTGAGATTCAGATTATGCATAATTAAAAAAAAAAAAAAAAAAAAAGACCGGAAATGCTGTTTATGTGCTGAATAGGATAGTAAAGACTTCTTCTTTGAGCCAGGTACTATCCTCATGGCTGGGGCAAAAATCCACTTTGCCTCTGTTCTGAAACCTTTCTGAGAAGAAGCCATACCGTGAGCACTCACCTCTGCGGTCAATGCCTTCTTGGTTGTGGTTTTCCTCCTGCATGGCAGGAGCAGTGTTTCTAATTCAGTCAAATCAGCACCGTAGAGAAAACATTTCAATAACTTAGGTCTATATTCAAAACCACGGAATTTTCATTACTCAAATTTGTTCTAACAAATTGTTATGAATACATCATCTGGTGCTGAACTTACCATTAAAATATTGATCAGCATTCGYGGCACATGTTTTTGGTCACAAGATAATTCTGCTGTGAATTTTAGTGTATGTAGTCTGCTATAATTATTTCCTGAAACCCTTTATTTTTGTAAAGAGTAGCTGATTGAAAGTTAATAAAGTAATTATCTGAAATGCTGTTCATAATTTAGAACAATAATTAGAGAAATAAGAACAATGGATCTCATAGACAATATTTATTCTTACTGAAATACTACTGTTTGCRTTCTTTAGTCCTTTTAGCCTGGGTTCTGAGCTTTTGTCACTAAGCATTTTGCTGAATGATTCCCAAAGATGGGAAATTCTTAAGTCTCTGGTCATGATCCAATCCTGAAAAGATGGRATAGAGCGAAACAGGACACAGATGTTAGGCAAACTGATGTACCTTTAAAAGTTGCAAATTTATTGGAGGACGAAGGGGATTTCAGTCTCTCTTCTTGACATCCCCTTCTTATTCACACTGTCCTCTGTGAAATATCTTCCCATGTCCAAAAGAGAAGTTCTACAGCTTGCTCCTATCTGTCAAAGACTCTGGCCCCAGAGCAGTGCGTCCTCCCAGCTCACGCTGAAGGTCTGAAGCCTGTTTTGTTGCTTGCCATAGAAGCTGCCTTGAAGTGGGCATTTGCCCACTGTAGACATTCACTCAACTGACAAAATGTCACTAATTCCTCTCTGCAGTGTGAAGTCCTCACAGAAAATTAAAAAAAAAAAAAAAAAAAAAAAACTCATGAATGGCTTGTGTATGACCTCCACCTTCTCTTTTACCTTTTCTGTTCAAATGAATTAGCAAAGTGCAGGCTCATGCGTATGACTTTTTTGTGAGGATAGTTAGAGATATGAAACCTGGAATACTTTTGTGCAAAGCTTTTCAGTGCTAGTGGAAATGGTGACAGAGTAGATCAAGACACAGAAGAATTGAGATTCCTTTCTATCCTTTTCTAGTGGTAGTGGTTAKAGAGAAATGTTATTTCTAGTAAAAAGGAATTGAGAAAACGGGGTATGTTCTATAGATCATCTTTGGAAATGTTTGTGGATGTCAGGACATTATACTCTTTTCGTGGGGTGCAACACTAACCCACCAGAGCAGAGCACTTTTTAAGTGCTTATCCAACATATTTTAGTTTATTTATGATTTTTCACTTCAGCTGCTCCCTACCAGCTCTTTACTGACCTTCTCTACTGCTAACCTTCACATGCTTTTAACCCATGTTGTGTAGAAATAGAGAACAAATGTGGTGACTTGATGGATAGGCTCCACTTAGCCTTTCCATTTTTTTTCAGTTACCAACAAAACACACAGGCTCAGTGTGACTTCCTAGAGCCACAGATTTGTTTTGTAGTTTCTTTCCTTTGATTATGAAAAGTATCTGAAAGGGAAAGTCTCTGTGACTTTTTTTTTTTTTTTTGCATGTAACATAATCTTTACTTGACAAGCGTTTTGCTTCTTTTCTCTCATTAGTTTTTCACCCAGTTACTAATGAATGCCATTACAGTCACAAACACATGATTAATGCTTTGATGGAAGGTCTTTGTTTTACTTTTTAAAAAGTCGCAGTTAATTCCCATCTTGGGGAATGAGTTGGGGTCTCCACGCTGTGCTGAAGTACATGACGTACATGAGGTATGAGCATGATTCTTACTGAACCATTCCTTGCTATTCTTGTTCATCTGAATCACTAAAGTGAATCCTTTAAGGGATGAAAGGTGGTTTACTGAGTTATGAAAGATTTGAGTAGTCATTCTGTGAGCTAGGATTGTCTCCTCTCTTTCCCAGGCCTCAGGTATCCTTTCCAGTAGAAAAGAAAGCATTTAGACATTTAACTGCATTTTGAAATGAAACCCTTAATTCTGAAGAATGCTGCAAGTCAGTGTGAAGAACCTAACACCAAGTCTCCAAAACATAATGCTCCCCGTCTGAGCTCTCATTTCCCACCTAGCCCTGACTCCTATGCAATCCATCTCTACATCAGGGACTGCTATTTCCAACAGCTTGGTGAACAAGTGTAATGAGAGATCACTCTGTGTTTTTTTTTTCCCATGAAGATTTTTATTACGAGTAAAAATTCCTGTCTTTTGATGAGATTTTCTTTAGTTTCAGGTCTCCTGCCAAAAGACTTGGACTTTTTTTCCCCATACTATTTCTCCATATACTGAAGCACAAGTGTCTCACTGCTTGACTGTACTAGTCCGTATCAAAAAATAATCCAGTCACTGTTGATCCTCTTATATATAACTCTTTCTATAGGGGAACTAATAATGTGGTACTTCCCTTTTAGCAGCTTTTTCTTTTTCAAAGAAAAAAAAAGAAAATTTAAAGTTTGATCAGTAATAGTATATTTAGGAAAAAAAAAAGAAAATCTTGTAATGTGCACCTCTACTTTGTGAAATTAATAAGTGTTAAATGTTAATTCATTGCCCTGTAATTCAATTCATTGGAGCTTTGAACTTTAACAATTTGTCCATTTTCTTTGAAGCATCAAAATATAACAAATCAGCATGTGGCAAAAGAATGAAAAAAAAAAAAAGATTAAATAGGGCGGGATGGATCTAGATTTCTATTAACTTGGATCTTGAATATGCTTGTTTGCATATTRCCATTGTCCATCTCAATATGGCCATGCTCAAATAACAACATAAAAGTCCTTAAAAATGAGAAAATAGAGACTCTCCTCAATGTAACACTTTTAATTTCATAGATCAAKAGGAAAAAGCCCATCTCAAGATGAAATTTATAAGTCTGGCATTTCATTACATTAAAACTAAACAAAACTCCAAATACTTTAAATTAAACCATCAATTCCATGTGTTTTCCTGAAAATATATAACGATACAAATCAACTGCTAGAATTCTCAATACTTTTGTTCTAATGGTTATTATTATTTAACATTTTGGCTGCAGTGTTGCTAAAAAAMCACAACCATCCGTAAGGTATTCTACAGACTCTGTCATAGGTAGGAGAATTGCCCTAATCATGCCATTTTCAAAATTTAAATTATAAGACTTACTTAAAATGAGCAATGAATTTTTTTATTCTTTTTTTGCTCTTAGATATGGAAACTTCCTTTACAATATGAAGTTGATTTTTTTTTCATAATCATTTGACTCTCAAATTAGGTACTTTAGGAAAACTATCAGTGGTCTTGAGGTACGCAGCAACACTGGAGTAAAAAGAATGGAGCAGCTAGGCTCTGCCTCTGCAGGGGGGTGCTGAGGGCTTCGGGAATCTTCCCTCCCTCTGTTTTTCTTCATGACTTCATTTAGCTTGGGA